ATTGTTGTACAATTGTGTTACACCGACTCGCTCGGTTGTGTTCCCATGACGACAGTGGTCAGACTGGCCTGACATTTGTAAGGCTTCAGTGCAGTGTTTGTTTACATCACAGGAATATACAAATTCATTTCATGGGGGACTTTAGGGGACGCTCACGGTGAAATGCTCGCTTTCTTAATTTTCACATAGAATAGGAAAGCCACCATTTTGGTTTCTCTACGATTGATTTTAGCTATCCTAAGTTGGTCATGAGCAACTTAGACTTTGAATCTTAACTTTACGATTGACTTAGGTAAGATTGGTTAGTGGAACGGTATGCCGATCGTAACGTCACGCTAAGATTGGGATTTTAGGGGTTTACGATTGGCATAGGGCTAAGATCGGTTAGTGGAACGGCACCCAGTTATGTAGCCATTTGAAATTCAAAGGAACCATTTCAACCTATTATTATGCAGTACTGCGTACCTAATCAGTTTATTTATGATCTGCAATAATTGTCTTCAGTACAAATTATGTTATAGTAGTGTATTGTGTTCTCTATTTCATTTTGTTAACAACGAATACATGTTACGTACAAATACCGTGAGCCACAACCGGGAAAATCCCAGCGGACCAATTTGAGCCCCCAATGTCAATTCCACTTCCAGTCTGAGGCTTTTTTTTACAATAATAAGGCTTAAAACCTCACTAAAATTAAAGTTGGTTAGTCATATTGATCCTATGTTATTGCGACATGGGTTTATTTATATAACATTCTTACAGAAAATGTAAAATACACTTACGAATCACCAAGATGTTGTCTGGTCTCATCTATGATGACTTCCTAATGGAACACATGTCACGTGTTGTCATTCCACCAATCTATTTGAATGTGATCAGTTGTTGGCACTTGTAAGTAACATTTGGGAGTTAAAATTTACCTACGAATACAGGTTATTTTGTGTGATATCTTCGTAAAAACAGCACAGAAAATGTTCAGATGTGGCACACGTATATCTTGTGGCCCTTTGGCCCTTGAACGTAGGATATCATTCACTAATGTGTTCATCTGTGGAAACAGCAACATATTTAATGGTATATGTAGGTAACGTGATTTTTTTTACCAAATCAGACTTTGATTTTCTAACAATTGTTTAGATTATTACTTATAAGAAATATTATGTAACGCCATTGCATTTGAGTTCTTTACATATTAATGCTATAAAAAGTAATACAAAACATAACTTTGTGTTGCATTTACATAAATTGACAGAGTCATTGAAAACTGTATTCGTAGGTTACGCAAAAAAATATCACTTGAAAACAAATTACCAGAATTACGAATTAAGCCCTAGACAAAATCATTCCAGGGGATTTATTCACGAAATATTTGGCAATCAGATTTATAAACTTCTGTTCGTGCAGTTTGAATAGTATTTAACACACAACATGTTTTCAACAAAACATTTGTAAAATATGAGTCAAAATTAATAAAAATGACCTGTTTTTGTCTCCAATAAGCCTACTTTTCATTAAAAATAGTCATGCTATATATGGCCCGAATCATCTCACTTGTGCCGATGTGATGGGCACCCCGAAATAAGTGAAGATAGTAATGCTAAATTGTTATGGGCCCAAACATGCTGTGTACACTTTTCGTTGGAATCGACCATATATATACATAAAATATATCGTTTGAAGTGTTTTAAGTGAGTCTAAACTTTTGATGATAAGTATACAATACAATAGCCATACTCTTCATCAGGAACCTTTGGTGTGTTAACGCCACCATGCCCATACGTTTTTAAGCATGGCATTTTGAGCATCATAGTAAAATGGTGTTCGTAACTTGATCATTAACGTGTATCAATACGAATTTGGAGACAATAGAATACAAATTGGCCTTACTTCGTTGTGCGCGCTATCGAGCTGTTGCATGCGTGAAAACAGGTAAAATACATCAAACATTTCTAACATAATTCGGATCTGATTGAACATGAACGCCATTTCACAATTCAGGTGAGATTTAGAGCGTTGGATCTGAAAACACTCGAGATGCTCGGATAGCATAACTCCAAGGAACAAAGCGCTCAATCGGCACTGTTGACATAAGACTGAATGCCCGCGGACCCACATGGGAAGTGTCCGTGTAAGTATAGACTTAGACTTACGGCCAGTCTCTGAATACATTTATACATATAACGATGATGGAACAAACAATTCCTTATAAATTGGAAAGGAGCCACACTGTGATGGGAGATTCAGAACCTGGGGCCTGAGGAATCTAGACTTGCTTCATTTAGGGCTTTAGCACCGCAAAAGGGCTAGACAGAATAGAAAATAATGCGATTCAGGGACTGTGAGACAGACTACTAACGATTGACTGAGACTCGAGCAGCACGAACGTTTACGGTTTGTGTGTATGGATATAATTACACTCCACTTGACCCGACTGACAAATTGTCAATTGCCTCTGTCCTCTCTCTTACACCATTATGTGATGCTAGCATAGTGGTGGAAATGCCTTTCCTCTGGGGATATGTATCAGTATATCACACACAATTATGAAAGAGTTAATATACTGTATGAGTAACCGATGTTATCCTGTCTGGTGTAGAACGGGTAACTCTATGGTCGGTTTAATTTCCTCTAGAGTCACTTGATCCTAGGATTGGCCCACCCCACGGTGACCTTGCCCCAGACTCAGGCCACACGTGACTGTTTGAGCTGGAGCTGGGATAACTCCTAGTCTGTCTCACAACCCACACTAGCTTCCCTTCCGCCCAGCCCTTTCTGCAATGGAAAACCCATAACTGAAACAAGTCTAGATTTCAGTCTCCCATCTCGCTCCGGTTCCTGTTCAGTTTAAAAGAAATTATTTAATTAACGTTTTTATTTAATTATATATATATATATATATATATATATATATATAAATTTAGAGACTACCCGTCAGGCTAGGATGATCCTTCCCGTCTCGGAGCAGTCTGTAGAAGGTTTAAATGTGTTTCATGGCTCAAATTACAGCCGAACCCAATCCTCCATTATTCTCCCATACACCTAACTGTGTGCTTCGTTGCATACTTTTAACATTGTTAAAGGTGTATATGGTCGGTGATGTTGGGTGTGCGTGTTGCTTGAATGACACAACACAGTCTTCATTCAGAAGTACTCACTCACTCACTCACTCGAGATCTTACATAAGACTGAAAACAACAATGGCGATAAGCAGGCCATCGCAAAATCTATTCTGTGAGTCCATTGCGATTCTTCAGCACTTGATTTTCATAGCTCCCTGATCCAGTTCTACATTCGTCTTGGTCAGTGTATATGCATCATATAACACATAAAATAGAAATGATAATGATTAAAATGAAAACAATAATCCACACACCATAGAAAACCTCGGCCAAGAACAAAGTCAGGTTTCTACGACTGCATTAGCATCATCATAGACTAAGAACACCACCTCCGATGACCCCTATTGTTTGTAATGTCAATATAAAATGTGGATTTCATTGTTAACATTTCATCTTTGTACACGGGGCCAATGATGTATTTCAGTGGCCTACAACTATGAGCGAGTGAGTGAGTCAGTCAGTAAGTTTAGCTTTACACACTCGTCAATATTCCAGCGATATGGTAGCGGTCTGTAAATAATCGAGTCTGGACCAGGATCCAGTGATCAACATCATGAGCATCGATCCACGCAACCCAGTCAGAGAGCCTCACCACGCAATCCCTATACTCGCCTCTTACGGCAAGCATGGGTTACTGAACATCAGTTTTAAGCCGGATCTTCCCGGGTACTAGAACTATGACAGGAACCCGTCGACACAGGTATAATTAACACGATATTAAGCCCCATTTAATCATACATCACCTAAACTGATATCACATCATATCAGTTATCGATTAGCTATTAACCCAAACATCAACGTCCCCACTCTTTAGGGGCGGTGGGGTAGCCTTTTGGTACAAGCGTTTGCTCGTCACGCAGAAGACCCGGGTTCGATTCTCCATATGGGTACAATGTGTGAAGCCCATTACTGGTGACCCCCACCCCCAACCCCTTCCCCGCCGTGATATTGCTGCAACTAACCCAACACCTTTCCTGTAATACCGACCTATGAATTCTATAACCCTTTTTAGAGGGTCAGTTGGTAAATTCCTTTAAAATCTTTTTACAATATATATATATCACTTTTGTGCCCACGTCAGTATTAATTAAACAGTTATAATAAATACTATACCTTTTGTTGTAACTACACCTTGCGGTAAGCTTTTCCAGGTGAGAGGGAAGGCTACTATTATCACACATCACGTTCCTATAACTATCATATTGAGAATGTATATGTTGTATAACGCTTCACCTCGCATGTGTTACTTCATCTGTATATAATCGAGTCTGGACCAAACAACCCTGAGACTGACATAATGAGCATCCATGCAATTTGGGTACAATTATAAGCATCAATCAAATCAAGGAGATTGACCACCTGTCTGATCCCATAATCAACTCTTCCGACAATCATGGATAACTGAAAATGCCGGCTTTTAAGTTAGATCGCAAACAACAGCATAAGCCCCCCCCCCACCCCCACACACACACACACACACACACACACATACAAAAGCCATTCACCCAACCCCCCACTCCCCTTCCTGCAACCGCCAATGCATCAATCTACACAGTCATCCGAGTTGAACTCCCCGCTTGTTGGTTCATTGGCACAACAGTTGTGCATCGATTTACACACATGGGATACGATGACATTATGTCAACCGTTAGTCGCCTCTTACGACAGGCATGGGTTGCTGAAGATCCTTAAAACACTAGCCCGGATCTTCACGGGCTTGAATTCCCGGTACTCCAGATCGTAAGCTACAAGCACAAGATGCTTGGTTTAAAGGCTTACTAGGAATCTGGGCTTAGGTGTATATGGATCATCACCATGTCTCCGTGCACTAGAGCTCTGCACACAACAATAGGCTACAGTCTGCTGTTACATTAGACTTACCACCAGGAACGTTATGCATCCACAACAAACGCAGATGTAACTCTGAATCCTCAAACTGTCGACTGAGTGTTTATACCACGTGACTGCCCATTACGGAAGCGAGGGGCATGTAGAAAACTGAAATATATCCTTTGACCTTTATCCTAGTTCCTGGTGAATCTTTCAGAATGAACTCACAAGATGATATAATATGCCATCTGCAGCGAATCATGTGCTGACAATAACATTATTCAGGCTATTCAAACGAATGCGTCACTTCAGCTTAAGTGCCGATATTGATTGGTTAATCAGAGTCACGTGCTGTGAATAGCCTTCTTTGAACTTCATAAAGGCAAGTATTTCGCAAAACCAAGTCTAAATTTAGCCAGGGTAATCCCGCTACCGTTCGCCTACACAGCCTGACCGAACCAGGTCACATATATGGCGAGACGGTGGGTGATGGCTGAGCAGTCAGGCGTGTCACCAGCCACGTCTGGGCGGGGGTGTTTATAGCTCATAACAGCCCAACACTACAACTTTCTATGTTCACTGTGCATGCGGAAGGTCGGAAAGAATATTTTTCAGTATCTATTTCGACCCTAACATATTAAGACTCGGGGTCAGCAAAACTATATCATGCGATCAAAGCGAAAACAAATTTGCTATCAATTACCATCAGATTCACAGTGTCCTATTTACTCCAAGAGGCTTACATTACAAGTTTAGAAGAAATAGGTTGCGAATACAATGCAAAAAATGTGAGAAGTTATTTGACAAGGAAAGACACCGTTAGAAAACACAGAATAACACCTGCTGATCCTCCTTTATGATGCTCGGGGATACGAATCCATTAAGAACACCACGTAGAGACATTTCCCTCACAAACAAACCCGTCGATGTTCGACCTGACCATGGAATCGGTTACAACCACAGACAATGTTGATAACACGTCGAAGGAACCTCGTGAGTGAGTTTAGTTTACGCCGCACTCAGCAATATTCAAGCTATATGGCAGTGGTCTGTAAATAATCGAGTCTGGACCAGACAATCCACTGATCAACATCATGAGCATCGATTTACCCAACTTAGATACGATGGCATGCGTCAACCATGTCAGCGAGGCTGACCAACCGATTCCGTTAGTCGCCTTTTACGACAAGAACTGTATGTGGCTCTATATGATGGTCAACTTTATCCTGTAGGCATCACTGAGACTGGTGTAGGTTGAATGTGTGCTTCTCTAGGCCAGTCTGTAGATGAGTCAGTATTGTGAAACATACACTATTCGTTAGTTTTGAGATCTCTCATGATTTAAATGCAGTGGATATCTGCCATTTTGTGGCAAGGATTGGCATATTTCCCGTTTCATTGTTTTGAAAGATTTTTTTATCATCTTAGATGAGCTGGTGTGACTAGGTGCTTGTGAAGTGCATTAGTGTGGGACTTGCTTGTGACTTTTAATGGAAGAGAGCAGTGATTTCTGGATGTCATTTGAAAAGATAAAACCAGGTTTTCATGTGTGCGCAGTGCGGAAACAACGCTTTATACTAAAATAGTAATAGCCGTTTTCCTTGCACGCGTGAGGCGTAGTGCGTGATTATGCTTACGTTTAATTTACAGTTATCTTCAGGAAAAGAAGCAATTCAAGCATTCTTCAATGTCACAGTATTATTTCTATAACTGGGCAAGAAGGTATGATTGTAAAGTTCAATATAATCGAATCTAATCGTTCAATATATAATACATCATTCATTACTCCAGCGAGTTATTGTGGTAGAAGTCGATGATGTCATTTCAAAACTTGAGTTCGGACTACTGACCTGGATGGAAGAGAACTGTGAACGAATAATACGGTGTCTGTACATACTTGACCAGCGGGAAACTATGCGCAACCCAAGACACAGGACAACAGTTCCTGGATGGAAGAGAACTGTGAACTAATAATACGGTGTGTGTACATACTTGACCAGCGGGAAACTATGTGCAACCCAACACACAGGACAACAGTTCCTGGATGGAATACAACTGACCTGGATGGAAGAGAACTATGAACTAATAATACGGTGTCTGTACATACTTGACCAGCGGGAAACTATGTGTAACCCAACACACAGGACAACAGTTCCTGGATGGAATACAACTGACCCTGGATGGAAGAGAACTGTGAACTAATAATACGGTGTCTGTACATACTTGACCAGCGGGAACCTATGTGCAACCCAACACACAGGACAACAGTTCCTGGATGGAAGAGAACTGTGAACTAATAATACGGTGTCTGTACATACTTGACCAGCGGGAAACTATGTGCAACCCAACACACAGGACAACTGTTCCTGGATGGAAGAGAACTGTGAACTAATAATACGGTGTCTGTACATACTTGACCAGCGGGAACCTATGTGCAACCCAACACACAGGACAACAGTTCCTGGATGGAATACAACTGACCTGGATGGAAGAGAACTGTGAACTGATAATACGGTGTCTGTACATACTTGACCAGCGGGAAACTATGTGCAACCCAACACACAGGACAACTGTTCCTGGATGGAAGAGAACTGTGAACTAATAATACGGTGTCTGTACATACTTGACCAGCGGGAAACTATGCGCAACCCAACACACAGGACAACAGTTCCTGGATGGAAGAGAACTGTGAACTAATAATACGGTGTCTGTACATACTTGACCAGCGGGAACCTATGTGCAACCCAACACACAGGACAACAGTTCCTGGATGGAATACAACTGACCTGGATGGAAGAGAACTGTGAACTAATAATACGGTGTCTGTACATACTTGACCAGCGGGAAACTATGTGCAACCCAACACACAGGACAACTGTTCCTGGATGGAAGAGAACTGTGAACTAATAATACGGTGTCTGCACATACTTGACCAGCGGGAAACTATGTGCAACCCAACACACTGGACAACTGTTCCTGGATGGAAGAGAACTGTGAACTAATAATACGGTGTCTGCACATACTTGACCAGCGGGAAACTATGTGCAACCCAACACACTGGACAACTGTTCCTGGATGGAAGAGAACTGTGAACTAATAATACGGTGTCTGTACATACTTGACCAGCGGGAAACTATGTGCAACCCAACACACAGGACAACAGTTCCTGGATGGAAGAGAACTGTGAACTAATAATACGGTGTCTGTACATACTTGACCAGCGGGAACCTATGTGCAACCCAACACACAGGACAACAGTTCCTGGATGGAATACAACTGACCTGGATGGAAGAGAACTATGAACTAATAATACGGTGTCTGTACATACTTGACCAGCGGGAAACTATGTGTAACCCAACACACAGGACAACAGTTCCTGGATGGAATACAACTGACCTGGATGGAAGAGAACTGTGAACTAATAATACGGTGTCTGTACATACTTGACCAGCGGGAACCTATGTGCAACCCAACACACAGGACAACTGTTCCTGGATGGAAGAGAACTGTGAACTAATAATACGGTGTCTGTACATACTTGACCAGCGGGAAACTATGCGCAACCCAACACACAGGACAACAGTTCCTGGATGGAAGAGAACTGTGAACTAATAATACGGTGTCTGTACATACTTGACCAGCGGGAACCTATGTGCAACCCAACACACAGGACAACAGTCCCTGGATGGAATACAACTGACCTGGATGGAAGAGAACTGTGAACTAATAATACGGTGTCTGTACATACTTGACCAGCGGGAAACTATGTGCAACCCAACACACAGGACAACTGTTCCTGGATGGAAGAGAACTGTGAACTAATAATACGGTGTCTGCACATACTTGACCAGCGGGAAACTATGTGCAACCCAACACACAGGACAACTGTTCCTGGATGGAAGAGAACTGTGAACTAATAATACGGTGTTTGTACATACTTGACCAGCGGGAAACTATGTGCAACCCAACACACAGGACAACAGTTCCTGGATGGAAGAGAACTGTGAACTAATAATACGGTGTCTGTACATACTTGACCAGCGGGAAACTATGTGCAACCCAACACACAGGACAACAGTTCCTGGATGGAATACAACTGACCTGGATGGAAGAGAACTGTGAACTAATAATACGGTGTCTGTACATACTTGACCAGCGGGAAACTATGTGCAACCCAACACACAGGACAACTGTTCCTGGATGGAAGAGAACTGTGAACTAATAATACGGTGTATGCACATACTTGACCAGCGGGAAACTATGTGCAACCCAACACACAGGACAACAGTTCCTGGATGGAAGAGAACTGTGAACTAATAATACGGTGTCTGTACATACTTGACCAGCGGGAAACTATGCGCAACCCAACACACAGGACAACAGTTCCTGGATGGAAGAGAACTGTGAACTAATAATACGGTGTCTGTACATACTTGACCAGCGGGAACCTATGTGCAACCCAACACACAGGACAACAGTCCCTGGATGGAATACAACTGACCTGGATGGAAGAGAACTGTGAACTAATAATACGGTGTCTGTACATACTTGACCAGCGGGAAACTATGTGCAACCCAACACACAGGACAACTGTTCCTGGATGGAAGAGAACTGTGAACTAATAATACGGTGTCTGCACATACTTGACCAGCGGGAAACTATGCGCAACCCAACACACAGGACAACTGTTCCTGGATGGAAGAGAACTGTGAACTAATAATACGGTGTTTGTACATACTTGACCAGCGGGAAACTATGCGCAACCCAACACACAGGACAACAGTTCCTGGATGGAAGAGAACTGTGAACTAATAATACGGTGTCTGTACATACTTGACCAGCGGGAAACTATGTGCAACCCAACACACAGGACAACAGTTCCTGGATGGAATACAACTGACCTGGATGGAAGAGAACTGTGAACTAATAATACGGTGTCTGTACATACTTGACCAGCGGGAAACTATGTGCAACCCAACACACAGGACAACTGTTCCTGGATGGAAGAGAACTGTGAACTAATAATACGGTGTCTGCACATACTTGACCAGCGGGAAACTATGTGCAACCCAACACACAGGACAACAGTTCCTGGATGGAAGAGAACTGTGAACTAATAATACGGTGTCTGTACATACTTGACCAGCGGGAAACTGTGTGCAACCCAACACACAGGACAACAGTTCTTGGATGGAATACAACTATGAACTAATATCGATGTAGAATGTTTCATTAATGCTTTGAAATTATCCTCACTGAAAAACGTTGTAAAAAAATCCTACACAATCAATTAGTTTATTTCGTTTAACTCATTTATTTTCACTTGACTCCGATGCTGTTGACTGTTTATTTGACCATGATAACACTTACTGGTGAAAAAATACTTTTGAGGAAAATGATGTAGATAAAATAATCTTGACTCAATCGCTTTGGTTGAATCATTTCTTTAAATCATCATATGTTATAAAAAAAACGGGTTTAGTCAAGGTATACATAGCATAAAAGATATATGTAATGAAAGTGGCTTTCTGAGTTATGAAAATATAAAACAGAGATATAAAATACAGGGAACTTTCCCAGACTTTCAACACTTGTTAAACAACATTCCAAATAACTGGAGATATCAGATCAGAAACAAAACACTTACATTCGATCAACCACATATTAATAATGTATATAAATATATTATCTGTAATGCTAAAGGCTCAAGGAAATTCTCTGACGAAATAATGATACTACACCCGAGTCCTTAGAATACTGGACCACTGAGATTGACTGGAAATATGTATTCAACTACTATAGGAAATGTGCAAATGACTGTAGGCTCTAAGACTTTCAATACCGATTTATAAACAGAACAATTCATACAAAAAAAGAACTATATATGTGACGCAATATACATCAGATGTGGTCCTATATACAATATGACGTGTTGGATATGGTGCTATATACAACATGACACGTCGGTTGATATGCTATATACAATATTATATGTTGGATATGACACTATATACGACATATTTCGGATGTTGCGCTATATACTACATGTCGGATATGGTGCTATATACAACATGACACGTCGGTTGATATGCTATATACAATATGATATGTTGGATATGACACTATATACGACATATTTCGGATGTTGCGCTGTGTACCACATGTCGGATGTGACCCCATATACAACATGCTGTGTCTGATATGACGCTATATACAACACTGTATGCTGTATGTTACGCTATATAAAACATATGTCGAATGTGGCACTACATACAGCACGGTATACACCTTAGTATTTCAGAGGTCTAACTGTGTTACATCCTTGTAGGCTGGATATCTCATTATGTATATGTATTTGTATATGCCATTATGTAACGACCGTAATGATAGAAAACTTATGTTTCATGAAAATAGAAAAAGAATATTTAAAAAAGAAGAAAAAAGAACTATTGAAGATGAAGTTGTTGATGATGATACATGTGTATTTTGTAAAACCGCCTCATAAGATATATCACATGTTTTCTTTGAATGTCAATTAGTAAATGACATTTTATTACTTGCCAAGAAATCAATCTATACTTCAAGCCTCAAACAGCAAGATATATCGTTCAGAATTTCTTATTTTGGTTAAAGACACATGCTATATCGGAAAGTTTATTACAATGAAAACTAACAATATTAGTTGTTTTACTAGGAAATGATATCGCTTAGATACCGTACCGACATTTTAATTTAGCACACATGCAATTTGACCTACTCATATTAAGGTGTCCACAACAGTCATATCATTGTCACCTGGCTCCTATGTATCTAGGGCGATCGGGTAGCCTAGTGGTCAAAGCGTTCGCTCGTCACGCCGAAGACCCGGGTTCGATTCCCCACATGGGTACAATGTGTGAAGCCCATTTCTGGTGTCCCCCGCCGTGATATTGCTGGAATATTGCTAAAAGCAGCGTAAAACCAAACTCAGTCAGGCAGTCAGTCATGTGTGTATACATACAATTGTGTATTAACTTGATGATGTAACTGATGCCACTCTTCTGTCTGTACATGCAACTTGAAATGGAATAAAAATAAATTTTAATTTTTTTTTTTTTAAATTATGAACTGATAACACTGCGTCTTTCCATACGTGACCAGCGGGAACTATGTGCAACCCAACAGACAGAACCACAAACTGTTTCATAATGACGAAAAACATCTTTATTTGTAAAGTCGACCTCGGGAGCGACGACACACGTCGACAACAGGCTCAGTTGACAGGCAGGTCCTCTACTGTGACAGGACCAAACTTAACTCTGTTCGTCCCTGCGTTTCTTTCACTGCTTCTCTTCCCCCGTGATGGACAGGTCTGTTGGCAGGCGGTGGAGGTATTTGTGTCTGGGCAGACTCTGACGTCACATGTGATGTACACCGTGTTGTAGTTCCCAGAGAATTTGAACACCTTCATCGGAAAGTCTGTATGGTGATTGGTTGTCCTGAGAATGCGGGTACCACTGTCTACTGCGCAGCTGGAACACATGGCACATTTTACATAGGAAATGTATGGACGTGATACTTAATTCTCTCTGTCTTACAATGCCTTGCAGGGTTTTCGGGACTATTTTACAAATATCTTTGACAAGACAAAGACAATGTTTGTTATCCGTACATTCCATTCCCAAAATACTCTTTCGTGAAAGCTCCTGTTTAATGTTTGAGTTTTATGTTATTTGCCGGTTCAAACATAACCACCTTAAGAGATACATAGTGTCAGTGTATGAAGTCCACCGACGTAGCTAAAGGCCATATCGTTACGATTCCAATAAATACCAGTCAAGGTTCCGACCTATGGACGCAGTGAATACGAACGCAAGAAAACGATTCCGTTAAAATATCATTCCTAATGAATGAAAATATACATTTGTGTTGGTATATTGTTCACTATTTAATGGTACATTTAGCGGTGTTAAATCAATACGGAACAACATCTACATTTAAAACAGAATTTGATGAATCCTATTTACAAACTGATCCGGTTCCACGATGTTTTGTTTATGGTAAACAAAATGTCACAGTCATAGTCTCCACGTTGAAATAGCTCACCTAGACTCGCAAAATAATTTACAAAATGTCAAGTATGTTTTTACCGGTTTTCGAAACGTCTTAGTAATTATACTTAATATCTGAAATAGAAAACATCCTGCACTGATTTCGTTTCTTGTTTGTAAAGGGCAAAATAGCTGTGACAAGTATATGATTGGACTGAGGTGTTTTATCAAAATGTAGTTTCCTGTCTCAAAATCAACAGGATCATATTGGGGAAAAACCCGAGTTTCTTGACAGAACGATAAGAAAAGGAAACCAAAGGCACAGTAGAGTTCTCCATACCCTCCTTCTGCGAGGAAGTACTTCGTCCCGACAGTCTCAGCAGCTGTTGGTAGGGCATAACATGATCCAACCACCAGCTTCAGGTCCGAATCAGCGAGGTCCATCTGTACCCTGTACACAGTGAATAAACACGTCGTCATTCAACTTAATATACCTTGTTGTATGGATGGTCTCAACTAGCCACAAAACATAGAACATGAATTATATTACAGGATGATATAGAATATGATATAGATATGATTATAGAAAGGATGTGGACATCTCAGCAAGGAGACTATAAGCTTAACTTGCTCTCATTTACATATCTGAAACATAAACGTGGAAATAAGTTGTTTGGCAACTGTATGTTGAAAATTCCCCTCTGATTCTAATTCTTATATAGTCTGAATTTAGACTGATACTCTGCACTCTGTGTACCTCACTTGCAATTTCAAGCTATTGGACTCCCAAACCAGATGACCCGTGAAGAGCTGGGTTAGACGTATCTTTATCAACCCACGCTTGTCCTATGATGCGACGAACGGAATGGGTGGTAAGGCTCGTTGACTTGGTTGACACATGTCATCGTATCCCAAAAGCGTAGAACGATACTTATGATGCCAATCACTGGATGTTCTGGTCGAGGCTCAATTGTTTACATATCACCGTCACATGGTTGACACATGTCATCGTATCCCTATGGTATAAATCGATACTTATAATGCAAATCACTGGATGTTCTGGTCGAAGCTCAATTGTTTACATATCACAGTCACATTGATGACACATGTCATCGCATCCTATTGTACAAATCGATACTCATGATGCCAGTCACTGGAGTGTCTGGTCGCGTCTCTAGTATTTACATGTCGCCATAATATAGCTGAGATATTGCTGAACTCGGCGTTTACCAACAAACTGTGCAGCACCTGAAATAGAGGTCATCCCCAAGTCTCTTCTGTGGTGATGTGTACTGTCTGATCGTCATCGCCTGGTCCTCGTAGACATATATGGTTACCGGGAAGTCCTGCTGGACTCGGATGTGACCTTCGACTACCCTCCTCAGACGATCCACTTCAGAATCCACTGCTACTTTACTCCGTCTTCTGTCGGTTTGATAGTTGATGGAGACAGATTCAGAACGAGGCACCGAGCAGCTGATGGGAACCTTCCACCTCTCACCTCTGACGATGTTGTTTGACTCAGTAGCAAAGATTCTGTCCACGAGGAAGTTGGTGTAGACATGCTCCCCAGGTTCGGTCTGAACAGAGAAGGTTCATGGCGCAGTGGAAACACCGGAGCATTATACGCACAAAGAACTTAGTTCAGCATCCCCTGACTTATCTCACGATTGAATGAACCACGATCTTAACCATTAGGAGCATATCTGGGACATGACTGATCGTCGTGTGCAACAAAGGGACCCTCCTGTACAGAACCTGGCCCAATATGAAGCGGCTTCAAACGAGGAATGGCGTAGACTGTCCCTTCCGAGGATCAGGAGGCTGACAGAAGGAACAGTCACAAGGAGGTTACACTCGGTTACACTCGTACCTTGAATCGTGTAAGACACGCAAAATGACATTTCGAATGTTCACATTCACCAATAAATTCAACGTTAAACATTCCAGGTCCCCGTTCCTCGAAGCGATCGTAGCGCTACGACAGTCGTAAGTCTATGTTAAAGTATGGGAGTTACGATCACTTTAACGCTACGATCGCCTTGAGGAACGGGGTCCAGGGCCATACTTGCACAGAAATGGTTTTGTAATAAAATCAGTGGTATATTTTTTTTTTTTTTTTTTGGGGGGGGGGTTACTGAGCAATTATCATCATAAAAACTACATGGATTCCAATAAATTTGTCGTTTTTCGTGAACCAAAGGATGATACAGGTCAGACAAAATTCATGTTTTTCCATCGTTCTCCCCACGAGAAGCGTTATGTACGTGTTGAAAACCTATCATTGCAAAAATACAGGGGTGCTTAATTAAGTTCTTTGTGTATACATGTTCAGTGAATTAGCGTCAGCCAGTAAATAGTGAGCGAGGTTTTACGCCGCTTTTCGCAATAGTCTTGCACAATCACTACTTGGGTCAGTAGAAATGGGTGCAAATGTCTGAGAACAATCCTACAACAAATCCATTGCCTCCACTTCACATACATTTTACCACCACAGGATGGGAACTTAATGTTCCGTCATAAGTAAGTGAACCATCTCATACTGACAGCGAGTGAGTGAGGGGGGTTAAGGTCTCTTGCCTTTAGCAATAGTCCAGCAATATCGCGCGGGATACACCAGAAATTGGCTTCACACATTGTACCCATGTCCGGAATTGAACCAGGTTTTTCGGTGTGACGAGAGAACGTTTTAACCTCTAGGGTAGTTACATTGTTATGTTTACACTACTAACCACTATCAGGGCGATTCTGACATCTCGCAGGAACATAATTATATGCTATATTTGGGATTACATTTTCTCTGCAAAGTACTTTCTCAGATTCCAGGATGGGACTTGTCCCACAGGTATTGGCTTTAGAGGTGATTAAGTGTATTCAGTTGACGTCCCTGCTAATAAGCTATTGTACGAAAACAAGACACATAAAGCATTAGGATGACGCCACTAGTGATTCCTATCATCACCCACCTACCTTGACCATTGTGCCGCAGGTATTTGCTTTAGATGTGATGACGATGTTGTCGTTGAGTATGGTGCCAGTACAGAAGGGGTCAGAAAGCCCGATGGTTTTCTCTGAGGAGGCTGGGTAGAGTTGCTTCAGGACTTGGCGATTAATCTGGATGTTAAATGATCCACTGTTGCACGATATGTTGATGACGTCCTCTATCGAAGTGGCTGAAGACGAACCAGTTCATAATGGATAAAACACATAATCCCCAACGCCGATATTAGAGACATAAAATACACAAAACAGATGTACCAGTGAGTGAGTGGGTGGATGAGTATTGAGTGAGTGAGTGAGTGACACATTGTTCAAGACCTGGAACTCCAATAGTGAGTGGGTATGGTTTACGCCATTTTAACAACATTCCAGCAATATCATGACGGAAGACACCAGACATTTTACCCATGTACCCATGGGATCGAAACCGGGTCTTCGGCGTGACGGGTGGACTAGACTACTCCAACACCAAAGTGATGGAATCCAGCTCAGAATAAAATATGTGATATAATGGTAAAAATAGTCGGCAGCTGTAGTGACCAATGTGACGAGCGAACGCTATAACAAATAGGCTTTCACACCACCCCCCATACACATACCATTGTGATATGGCACATATTGCTGTATGTGGAGTACATGTTTATGTTTCCGGAACTAAACCTGACCTTTGACATTTCGTTTTAGGACCTCCACGTCTGATGCTCTCCGCAGGCCTACATCCGGGTAGGGTTGATAATGGATGGAGAAGGATTCAGAACGAGGCACGGAGCACGTGAGGGGTATCTTCCACCTCTGACCTCGAACAATGTCGTTGGACTCGGTTGCAAATATTCTGTCCACGAGGAAGTTGGTGTAGACGTGTCTGTCTGCCTCTGTCTAACGAACAACATGGAGTGGAGTACAGAAAGGACTTAATTATCACATTATACCCTATTGGTGTACACACTTGAGTAAGATGTAACAGCAAAACGTAGATTCTGGGGCGAGTGAGTATTGTTTTACGCCGCTTTCAGCAAACTTCCAGCAGTATCATGGCCGGGGACACCAACATGAGCTTCACGTATTGTACACATGTGGGGAATCGAACCGGGGCCTTCGGCTTGACGAGCGAACGCTTACACCACTAATCTACACACCCTACAGAATGCTGGAATCGACCCTGCACTGTAATGCCCATTGCCCATTGTTCTGTAATATTTTCACCTTGATATTGGTCCTACATGGGGCACCCTTCGTGTTGATGACTAAGATTCTGTTTACGTCCCTGCTTAGAGGTGATTCTACGAAACAAGGTTCTGTGATAACAACCAGATGACGTCACTAGCGTTCTATAACGTCAAACACTACCTTGACTATTGTCCCGCAGGAATCGGCGTTCGTGTTGATGATTAAGATGTCGTTGCTGACGATGCCGGTACAGGAGGAATCAGCCAGAGCGATGGTTCTCTCTGAGGAAGCTGGGTATAGTCGCTTCAGGAAGGTGAGGTCAATCTGGATATTGAAAGTCCCCGCGTCACACGACATGTTGACGACATCCTGCACCAAAGCCGCTGTAGATGACAAAGTGACCTTGGCAGTGCCGCCGACAGACGTTTTCATTCTGCATGCATTGAGGTAATATGTAATGCATACAGAACAAAGCAACTATTATCGGGAACTATCAGAAATTTTGACGACTTTGTCATATTATGTTTACTTAACCAGTGTCAATCTGTTTTTGTTTATTTATTGTTCAATTACCCCTCTCATCTGTAATCAATCGAGTCTGGACCAGACAATCAACAACATGGAAATCGATCTACACAAATGGGGAAAGTGTCTACTTCCAACAGTATGTGCGTGCCTATAAAGTGCAGGTGCGACATTGTAAAACCAGTTGCATGATCCATCCCAATAACAGAACCAGTCAACAGAAACCTTTTCTTCCCATTACCCCATGAAAACAGACACATTTTCAATGGCGGAATGATGCATCGACAGTTCTTTAGTCATTTGAAGCGTTGTTCTGTTATTCTATACGGAGTACCCTTGTATTAATATCATTAAACACCTCCACTCACGGCTCCACTTGGCTTGGAAGCCGGCCATGTTGTTGGAGCCGTCAGTGTCGAAGCTGACGGCAAATGCTTTGCCGAGGAGGATGGGGGGTTTGCCGCTGCCGCTGTAGGTGGAGCCACCGACGGGGATGCTGGAGGAACTGTTGAGTGTGGCGACCTGGATGACAGTAAAACATTGTGTGCATCAATTTTGTGGCAGGACGACCAAATTAGCACATGTACATGTACAATGTTAACATATGACTTCATCTTGAGTGTGGCGACCTAGTTTATTATTACTACATCTTTGTGGCCCTGATAAGATGGTGATCCGACTATTATTCAGAACGAGACTGTACTTTAATAAATGTCTTATTTAAAATGAAACAAGAATACGAACTTTATTTCGATAAGTCAGACTACAGCGGTTTCGCTACATTCAACAAGTCTGATACGTCTGTGCAACTAAACTAGAAGGTTTCTGGACCCAAAGGGTAGTGGATCCTTTACACTATCTCATACATGCCTGGTGTATTCCACGATTTGACAGGATGACTCACTGGCATGTGCTAGTGGCATCTAGAAACAATGAACAATGTCACAGCAGGAATCTGTCTAGAGGTCATTGTGGTACCTACAAGAACAATTTCACAGCAGGACTCTTCCTAGAGGTTACTGTGGTACAAACGTGTAGAGTCTCACAGCAGGACTCTGTCTATAGGTCACTGTGGTACAAGCGTGAACAATGTCACAGCAGGACTCTGTCTAGAGGTCACTGTGGTCAAAACATAAACAATCGCACAGCAGGACTCTGTCTAGAGGTCACTTTGGTCAAAACATGAACAATGTCACAGCAGGACTCTGGCTCGAGGTCACTGTGGTGCAAACATCAACAATGTCACTGCAGGAGTGAGTGAGTGAGTGAGTTTAGTTTTACGCCGCACTCAGCAATATTCCAGCTATATGGCGGCGGTCTGTAAATAATCGAGTCTGGACCAGACAATGTCACTGCAGGACTCTGGCTTGAGGTCACTGTGGTACAAACCTATACAGTGTCACATTAGTACTCTGTCTAGAGGTCACTTTGGTCATAACATGAACAATGTCACAGCAGGACTCTGGCTTGAGGTCACTGTGGTACAAGCGTGTACAATGTCACAGAACAACTCTCTCTAGAGGTCACTGTGGTCCAAACATGAACAATGTCAAAGCAGGACTCTATCTATGGGTCACTGTGGTACAAACGTGTACAGTGTCACAGCAGGACTCTGTCTTGAGGTCACTGTGGTACAAACCTATACAGTGTCACAGCAGGACTCTGTCTTGAGGTCACTGTGGTACAAACCTATACAGTGTCACAGCAGGACTCTGTATATGTGTCACTGTGGTACAAACGTGTACAGTGTCACAGCAGGACTCTGTCTCGAGGTCACTGTGGTACAAACCTATACAGTGTCACAGCAGGACTCTGTCTTGAGGTCACTGTGGTACAAACGTATACAGTGTCACAGCAGGACTCTGTCTTGAGGTCACTGTGGTACAAACGTGTACAGTGTCACAGCAGGACTCTGTCTCGAGGTCACTGTGGTACAAACCTATACAGTGTCACAGCAGGACTCTGTCTCGAGGTCACTGTGGTACAAACCTATACAGTGTCACAGCAGGACTATGTCTTGAGGTCATTGTGGTACAAACCTATACAGTGTCACAGCAGGACTCTGTCTTGAGGTCACTGTGGTACAAACCTATACAGTGTCACAGCAGGACTCTGTATATGTGTCACTGTGGTACAAACGTGTACAGTGTCACAGCAGGACTCTGTCTCGAGGTCACTGTGGTACAAACGTATACAGTGTCACAGCAGGACTCTGTCTCGAGGTCACTGTGGTACAAACGTGTACAATGTCACAGCAGGACTCTGTATATGTGTCACTGTGGTACAAACGTGTACAGTGTCACAGCAGGACTCTGTCTCGAGGTCACTGTGGTACAAACGTGTACAATGTCACAGCAGGACTCTGTATATGTGTCACTGTGGTACAAACGTGTACAGTGTCACAGCAGGACTCTGTCTTGAGGTCATTGTGGTACAAACGTATACAGTGTCACAGCAGGACTCTGTATATGTGTCACTGTGGTACAAACGTGTACAGTGTCACAGCAGGACTCTGTCTCGAGGTCACTGTGGTACAAACGTGTACAATGTCAAAGCAGGACTCTGTCTCGAGGTCACTGTGGTACAAACCTATACAGTGTCACAGCAGGACTATGTCTTGAGGTCATTGTGGTACAAACCTATACAGTGTCACAGCAGGACTCTGTCTTGAGGTCACTGTGGTACAAACCTATACAGTGTCACAGCAGGACTCTGTCTCGAGGTCACTGTGGTACAAACGTGTACAATGTCACAGAACAACTCTCTCTAGAGGTCACTGTGGTCCAAATATGAACAATGTCAAAGCGGGACTCTATCTATGGGTCACTGTGGTACAAACGTGTACAGTGTCACAGCAGGACTCTGTCTTGAGGTCACTGTGGTACAAACCTATACAGTGTCACAGCAGGACTCTGTCTCGAGGTCACTGTGGTACAAACCTATACAGTGTCACAGCAGGACTCTGTATATGTGTCACTGTGGTACAAACGTGTACAGTGTCACAGCAGGACTCTGTCTCGAGGTCACTGTGGTACAAACGTGTACAGTGTCACAGCAGGACTCTGTCTCGAGTTCACTGTGGTACAAACGTGTACAATGTCACAGCAGGACTCTGTATATGTGTCACTGTGGTACAAACGTGTACAGTGTCACAGCAGGACTCTGTCTCGAGGTCACTGTGGTACAAACGTGTACAATGTCACAGCAGGACTCTGTATATGTGTCACTGTGGTACAAACGTGTACAGTGTCACAGCAGGACTCTGTCTTGAGGTCATTGTGGTACAAACCTATACAGTGTCACAGCAGGACTCTGTATATGTGTCACTGTGGTACAAACGTGTACAGTGTCACAGCAGGACTCTGTCTCGAGGTCACTGTGGTACAAACATGTACAATGTCACAGCAGGACTCTGTCTCGAGGTCACTGTGGTACAAACGTGTACAATGTCACAGCAGGACTCTGTATATGTGTCACTGTGGTACAAACGTGTACAGTGTCACAGCAGGACTCTGTCTCGAGGTCACTGTGGTACAAACGTGTACAATGTCACAGCAGGACTCTGTATATGTGTCACTGTGGTACAAACGTGTACAGTGTCACAGCAGGACTCTGTCTTGAGGTCATTGTGGTACAAACGTATACAGTGTCACAGCAGGACTCTGTCTAGAAGTCAGTATGGTACCTACATGTACAGTGTCACAGCAGGACTCTGTCTAGAAGTCAGTGTGGTACCTACATGTACAATATCACAACATGACTCGGTCTTGAAGTCCGAGAACTCCAACTTGTACAGCTGGCCGGTGTTGGTGGGACGGATGATATAGAGGCAGTGGACGTTCCGAGGGTATGGCTGGGGGTAGTTGTCAGACTGCAGGATGCCCGCCTCACCTGAATATTGGTATCCACAATCTGAAACAGACCGACAACAATGCGAAAAGATGATTTGGCCGCCAAAGAAACTTACACAACTGATATATATTAAAGGCTGTACCGCAGGTACACCTTCTTCAAAATCGTATCTCAATACCATTGTTACACAGAGAATGTATTGTTACTCTTCTCCAAATAACTATATAATTATTAAGGTACCGACCATTTTCTTGATGGACGAATATTCTTTACACTCAGTACTTCAAAACTCATACACCTTTCAGGGATATTTTAAAGTGAGTTACTCATCTTTGTAAGATCCCGAGTAAATAAGAACGCGCTGTGACAACTTGCCACCTCAAGCTGGACAATATAACTCAATTGTATGGAATCTATCCTCGGGTAATAAAGACTAAATTGATGATAAGTAACTCATGACACAGCAAGGAACACAATGAAGTGTCGTACCTAGACATAGCAAATGTCGTACCTAACAACACTGCAGATAAATGGTTTAGAAATCTTGAGACGTTTTCTTTTAGATAACTATGAAAAAAATCATACTTTAATGAAATCAACGAATATTGTTTTGACACACAAACATAACAGGATAATGTTTTGAATCGGGATTTGAAGCCACAATCATAGGTCTATCGGGAGTCCAGAATGAAATGTGCAAAGCAAATTGAATTTCCTTAGGCTATGGAAGCACCCTTTACCCTTGCCCCATTAAGATGTAACCCAACTCGCAGGTCAATTGATCGTTTCCCTGGGAAATAATGCTAAAACCCTTACATCGGACTGGGCCTCACACAATTCATTCAGTCGACACTGATATATTTGGTCGTCCATTAAGTGATTATCTATGATTGTACTGACTATAACACTCGACCCCCGCCTGAACACAGGATGTCTGTGAGGGCGTGGTCAGTTTGGCTGGACACAAGGAAATGTCCCTTTCGCTTCCCACACATTTGGAGGACGTGATTATAGGCGGGTTGGTACTCCGACCGTACTTCCCGTCGGTGTGGGCAAAGCCACCTGAGGACCTGCAACAGACAAATCCAAGAGTGAGTGGTGCCACTGATCTGTCAACCCGTCACTGTTATCGATTCGGTGTGAGTTTTATCAACTAACTGCAGGGTAAAGCAACAATCAAAAAGGTGTTACGTTGGAATCATTTCACCTGAACTAACGACATCTCTGTTTCAGTCCTCAGAACAGTGACTGGGTATGGCTTTACGCCACTTTGAGCAATATTACAGCAATGCCATAGGTGGAGAAACCAGAAATTGGCATTGTACCCCATCGCCCCGAAACTTAATAACGAGACTAAAGAGAAGAAAACGTGTATCCATGGAAATGTAATATGCTCTGGCTCAACAGGTCGGGAATCGAACTCGTGTCTTTAGCGTGACGAGCGACCGCTCAAACTCTAGGATACTAAGCCGCCCAAACATTTAACGGGATCAAAGCTAAGCAAACGCTTTTCCAAAACAACTGAATATGTTTCTTGGTCAACAGCTGGGAAAAGATTGTGTTCACCCGCTTCATAACGTTGACATATTTTTAATATAGTGTACCTAACTCCGAGTTCTCTACAGATGACTTGAGCGTCTTCGTCGTCCCAGCCTGTTGAACACACGGGCTGCCACATGTCGTTTTCATAGATCTCCACACGACCTTCCCATGGTCCGAACCCATTGGTCAGCCGGACATTGGGCAGTGCTGAAACCACAGGAAACCTACATCGAATGACATGTCACACACCACGATCAGCCATCCGGTGATTGGACTGTGTTGAAAACATGGGAAACATAGCACATTAGACATGTCCAACTGTATCAGCCGCCCCATCAGCCAGACGGTGATATCTCACAGTTGACGGCCCCGATTCTCCCAGCAGGGTATGGCAATATGTCTGCCGAGGCAAGAAACTCACCCGACACCCCACAACTGACGCCACTGATGCCCCCAGCAAAACGTGATGTTATCCGCTTCATCTACGGCAGGAAACTCACCCGACACCTCACGGTTGACTTCCGCCACCCCACCAGCGGGACATGACGGTATCCGCTACATCTACGGCAGGAAACTCACCCGACACCTCACAGTTGACTCCCGCCGCTCCACCAGCTGGACATGACGGTATCCGCTTCATCTACGCCAGGAAACTCACCCGACATCTCACAGTTGACTCCCGCCTCTCCACCAGCTGGACATGACGGTATCCGCTTCATTTACGCCAGGAAACTCACCCGACACCTCACTGTTGACGCCCGACTCTCTACTAGTTTGACTTGACTGTATACGCTTTATCTACGGCAAGAAACTCACCCGACACCTCACAGTTGACTCCCGCCACTCCCCCCAGCTGGACATGACGGTATACGCTTCATCTACTCAAGGAAACTCTCCAGACACCTCACAGTTGACGCCCGCTACCCTACCAGCTGCACATGACGGTATCCGGTACATCTAAGGCAGGAAACTCACCCGATACCTCACAGTTGACTCCCGCCACTCCACCAGCAGGGCATGACGGTATCCGCTTCATCTACTCCAGGAAACTCACCCGACACCTCACAGTTGACTCCCGCCACTCCACCAGCTGGACATGACGGTATCCGCTTCATCTACGCCAGGAAACTCACCCGACACCTCACAGTTGACTTCCGCTACCCCACCAGCTGGACATGACGGTATCCGCTTCATTTAAGGCAGGAAACGCACCCGACACCTCACAGTTGACTCCCGCCACTCCACCAGCAGGGCATGACGGTATCCGCTTCATCTACTCCAGGAAACTCACCCGACACCTCACTGTTGACTTCCGCTAACCCACCAGCAGGACATGACGGTATCCGCTTCATCTACGGCAGGAAACTCACCCGACACCTCACAGTTGACTCCCGCCACTCCACCAGCTGGACATGACGGTATCCGCCTCATCTACGTCAGGAAACTCACCCGACACCTCACAGTTGACTCCCGCCACTCCACCAGCTGGACATGACTGTATCCGCCTCATCTACGTCAGGAAACTCACCCGACACCTCACAGTTGACTTCCGCCGCCCCACCAGCAGGACATGACGGTATCCGCTACATCTACTCCAGGAAACTCACCTGACATCTCACAGTTGACTCCCGCCGCTCCACCAGCTGGACATGACGGTATCCGCTTCATCTACGCCATGAAACTCACCGGACACCTCACAGTTGACTCCCGCCACTCCACCAGCTGGACATGACGGTATCCGCTTGATCTACGCCAGGAAACTCACCCGACACCTCACTGTTGACTCCCGCCACTCCACCAGCAGGACATGACGGTATACGCTTCATCTACACCATGAAACTCACCCGACACCTCACTGTTGACTTCCGCTACCCCACCAGCAGGACATGACGGTATCCGCTTCATCTACGTCAGGAAACTCACCCGACACCTCACAGTTGACTCCCGCCTCTCCACCAGCTGGACATGACGGTATACGCTTCATCTACGCCAGGAAACTCACCCGACACCTCACAGTTGACTTCCACTACCCCACCAGCAGGACATGACGGTATCCGCTACATCTACTCCAGGAAACTCACCCGACACATCACAGTTGACTCCCGCCGCTCCACCAGCTGGACATGACGGTACCCGCTTCATCTACGCCAGGAAACTCACCCGACACCTCACAGTTGACTTCCGTTACCCCACCAGCTGGACATGACGGTATCTGCTACATCTACTCCAGGAAACTCACCCGACACCTCACAGTTGACGCCCGCCACTCCACCAGCTGGAAATGACGGTATCCGCTTCATCTACGCCAGGAAACTCACCCGACACCTCACAGTTGACTCCTGCCACTCCCCCAGCTGGACATGACGGTATCCCCCAGGCTTGGAAGCCACACTCGCTGATGTCGGTCTCGTTGCCGACGCAGTCCACGTCGTCGAGCCAGAATTTCTCCGAACCGCTCAACGCGATGATCCGAGCAGTGCCAGTACCCTGCCTGGAAATAGACCAGAGGCTTGTGTCAGGGCCTTCTTAACGTTCCCACTGTATCGAACACAGAGTTAATGATCGTACATCTTAATGGCACCATTTCATTACGAAACCAAACTGCATTATGCATTAAGTCTGACAATGCATCATCATATATTATTTAGTTATGTCCATGGACATAATGTTTTTGTTGACATGCTTTCTCATTGTACTTGAGCATGTTCTAAAGCATTTGTATGTTACAAGGGAATCCAGCTATTTACTCACCAGTATCCCATCATCCGACAAATGACCTTCGCATCTTTAGAGTTCCAGCCATTACCGCAGATGTATGCCCACTGTCCGTTCCTGAACACCTGGACCCGGGGGTCAGCTTTGGTCAGCAGTATAGGGGTGGATTCAGCTGTGGAGTGAGTGAGTGAGCGTCATTGATTGGGATGGAAAATAAAAATACAAATCCAGTTTTGCACAAGAAAAGTAAACAGTATCCCGTGGCATTGCAAGTCCAATACCAATAGCATGTAAACTGGGAATATTGTAATCCATGCTGCAGAAGCAAAGATGTGTTTCAAACAGGAACTCCAGCAAAATAGAACTGACCTTGAACTAATGTTGTGTAGCAATCAAACTGAAACAGAAAGGCATATAAATGTATAAACGATTAAAGGAAGTGGTCAGTTTACGTTCGTGTCACTGTCTTCAAGAATCATATGAAAATCCACATACATAAATAGCTGAGCTATAAAGAATACCTTTGTTATCATCGTACTATAGACTATGGATAACCCATGGGTACAAATACCAGTAGGAGCATTTCTCTCTCCCAACGATCATTTGAAGCAAAAGTGAGTTAGTACATTTATGCCGCTTTTAACATTATTTCAGAAATATCACGGCGGAGGACACCTTAAATGTGCTTTCAGACGTTGTATTCATGTGGAGGGGCGGTGGGGTAGCCTAGTGGTTAAAGCGTTGGCTCGTCACGCCGAAGACCCGGGTTCGATTCCCCACATGGGCACAATGTGTTCAGCCCATTTCTTGTGTCCCCCCGCCGTGATATTGCTGGAATAATGCTAAAAGCGGCGTAAAACTAAACTCAGTCATTCAATCAGTCTATTCATGTGGGGAATCGAACTCGGGTCTTCGGCGTGACCAACGAACGCTTTAACCACTGGACTAACCAGACGCTCCCAGTAGCAAAAAGACGAGGACAGGATCTCCACAGATTAACCTGACGTTTGTCCATATGAATAGATTTGAACATACCTACATTTCTCTTGTAAATATCGTTAGCATATATTAAGTACATTTTGTTCAAGTATGAAATTTAATGCAACTGTCTCATAAACATGGTCAGACAGGAACATGTGTGACAACAACCTTTATAAAACCTTCATTCATTATGAAAGATAACGGTTGTCCATTTGCGTTCCTCCAGGCAAACATATACTATCAGATAAGACCGTACAGCTTTCTGGATGACATCTGTTAAAAGCCACACCATTCAACATCCAATAATGTTGTTAATGCGTTATATAACATGAACTGTGATCTTACTCACCACGAACAGGAATCCCAGCATGAAGCACACGAACTGCGTTGGATTCAACATGGCTTCAGTTCATGTGAGACCTACCTCTTTTTCTTTTCTTGATAAGATTCATGCATTGTGTCAGTAAGGCCTGTGCAAAGGTAATCTTATGTCATATTAGAGACAGGAGCATTTGTTATCTCTGACCATACTTTTACATTTATAGAATACAGGTTGATAAGAATATGTCTGGAATTCTAACCGTGGTAATGGGTTAGAACCTCTCGCACTTGTCCAGCGAACACCTCTTCTTCGTGATGTCCAGGATTTGACAGCTAGGCAACCCACACAGATTCGTCTGAAGAATGTTTGTATGAAACGTCGTTCATTCTACCTGTCTAAGGATTTAATGTGGAAACAGACCACATGTACATCCGCTGTTTAGTAAAGTATTGATCGTGCTCCCACAAAGTACTGTACAACATGGGGCTTCACCCGTTGATTAACACGCTCCACGTACATCCCCCAGCACAGGACAAGATTATAACGTGCAGTTAGACCAACTACACTCTGTTTGATTTCATTTGAGACCGATGAATTGCTCACTAACACGACATCTAATAATTTAACCGTACATAGCCACCCTGAAACAGTGTAAGAGGTGTCGATGCCACAACTTAATGTCTCAGGAGCAATACAGCTTGTGGGGTTTCCATGTTAAATCTATTTGCTGCCCACTACGATCACGCTCACTGATATAAATGAATTTTCTACATAGTAATTTCAATGAAGGGCTGCACCCGTCAAGATTTTACTTCCAGTTCCTATACATGCTTCGGTTTCCAACCCAACTTCATCAGAGACATTCGTTTCCACAGAATCAAGAACACCCTGTTCTATGCCTCGTCGCCATCTACCAGGATACACGTTGGTGAACGAGTGAATAATTCACATTCATTCTTAAAAATTGTCTTGACATGAAAGATCTGGTTATAGTCGTCCAACATATCTTGGTAGCACTCAATATTACTTTCAGTGATCTGTGTAAATCGATGGATGGCGTGAGTGTGGTTTGGCTTGAGATCAACATAGGGCTACTTGGTTGAAGGAAGTTAAGTAAGTGGGGGATGTTAAATACTTGGTGAAACACAGGCACTAACAGGCCAATTGTCGTAAAAATGACCACAAGATCCTTTTCCGGCTAGGGGACGCAACTCTCACAAACAAACTGCGGCAATGGACCATGGCAAAGTATTCAATGCTTTGGTCTCCACTGTTTAGTTCACCTATTTTCAGAACCTTAAAGGATCTGCTGTTTACTTACCCTTCTATGTGCCGTGAGATATAAGTATAATTGATTGCATAAGTATATGTTAGATTGCAATTTCTTTGACGTCACCCGAAATTTAAAAAAAAATATATTGGTGTCATACGGAAGACTCGGTATTCAGTATTCTTCTGGAATATCCGGGGAATATAGTTATCCATGTGTGTCACGGGATGCAGCTAAAAGGACGTGGTTGAAATTGTACTGTTCCGTGTCATTATGTCCTGGTGGCGCTGATCTGTTCATGGTATCACTCATTTTGTTTTATAATGCAATAGTAATGTTGTTAGGTGGGGTAGCCTAATGGTTAAAGCGTTGGCTCGTCAGGCCGAAGTGTATCCGGGGGCATAGTTATCCATGTGTGTGTTGGGATACAGCTATATAGGGCGTGGTCGATGGGAGCGGTATCTCGTCCTGTTGTGTGTCATCGTGCGCTGGTGTCACTGGGTTTATGACAATATAATGGAATATTGACAGGATATGGCTTCAACATAGCAGGTATTAAAATTAACGTTACAGTCGTGAGCTATGTCACGCTCATAGATCATGACTTCGACATTCATCACAGACTCAGCAATAACTGTGAGATGGATCATGGTATGTGTGAAAGTGACGTATGTATTCACGGGAGACTAAATGTGTCACACACGCATGGTCATACTCTTACGCACACACACACATTGTCACACATTGTCACACACTCATGAAGTGTTCACCAGTTTCTGTTCTTTCTTTAAAAGTATGGTAAACGTAAATGTTACATTTCCTCCTTCACGCTACAACATTGTCACATACGTAGATTATTATATTTACTAATCAGTCGAAGAATAACAAGCAAACGGTAACTTTTCACGTGCCATATCTGTTTCTGAGAGGGGCGATGGGGTAGCCTAATGGTTAAAGAGTTGTCTCGTCACGTCGAAGACCGGGTTCGAATCCCACATGGGTACAATGTGTGAAGCCCAGTTCTGGTGTCCCCGCCGTGATGTTGCTGGAATATTACTAAAACCAAACTCAGTCAGTCAGTCAGTCTTTCTGAGAATTTCTGGATTAGAATCGGTTTTCAGTAACCCATGCTAGTAAGAGGCAACTAACGGGATCGGGTGGTCAGGCTCGCTGACTTGGTTGACATATGTCACTATATTCCAATTGTGTAGATCGATGCTAATGCTGTTGATCACTGGAATTGTCTGGTCAGACTCGATTATTTACAGACCGCCGCCATATAGCTGGAATATTGCTGAGTGCAGCGTAAAATTAAACTCAATCACTCACGGTCAGAGAATTGTGACAAAACGCACACGCCACGTTATGGGTTTCAGAAAGGCTGTTTATTTACACAGGACAACACACATGTATATATTAAATGCGGGAAAAGACCCCAAAACTGTAACATCCTTGTCAGCATCTCAGGTGAGTTCAGATGTTGTCTAGTCCACGTAGACCTCCTCCGGGCTAAAACAGAACGGATATAGTGTACACACCCTACTGTGCCGTGACATACAGTTATCTGTATACTATGAACATTTCACTTGAATGTATAGATCTTGCGCATATCAGACACTGTATTATGATGATGTTCCTATCTCAGCTCGTTAGAACCGTTTTGAACCACTTGATTGCAGCATATTCAAACTATTCGATAAAATGTTTTATCTCAACAGTCAGTTCTTACCCATAAGTGTGACATTTAACTGACATTTTAGTGATTTTCAGCATCACTTTTATAGTCCAACATGCTACAAAACAAAATATATTTCTCGCCACTAGACGCTGCAAAATGGCTGATGAGGCGTAAAACAATATTGACTCACTCCCGGTTTCATAAATGTGCTCTTGGTAATCACTCAGGTGACTTTGTCTCCACTAGCTATGATTCCGCATCGAGAAGATTTTTGCCGCATTACAACATCTGAACCTGTTTTCGCGCCACCTTGTGTCCTAGAGATATATTTAGACTCGCTAAACGGATTCTGTGAGTCAGAAACGGCTTGCATATGTCCTAATGTGGACAATTACTTTCGTATATGGTGGAATGCCATTATGTTCTGTCTGAGGCATCATCTGAAATGACGATTATTTACAGACCGCCGCCATATAGCTTGAGTATGCTGCTGAGTGCGGCGTAAACTAAACTCACTCCTCACTCCCTCATCTGAAATGAGGACACATCAGAGGTACCAGAAATACGTTGATAAATGTCAGCCCAGTGCTATCGTGTTTCACACTTACTAAGCTTCGCAGATGAAGTTGAGCTGGGCTTGACGGTTGTGAAGTCGTTCACATGAAGTTGCGGGACGGCTTGGCGTTGATGTAGGCGCAGTTCTCAGCCTGGTCATAGTTGTTGGGCTGACCTTGGATCAGGGGTGAAGGTCGTGTTTTGGTTGCAGGTCATCAGGACGCCAATCACCCTCAGTTGACATGTCGCTCAGGTCAATCCAGAACTGCTCATAGTATTCTGAAGAATGGAGCATTTCACATCACTGGATCATATGTTTTGGAGCTGTGACAAACGAAGTGGAGCTGAAGGTGTAAAACCTAAAAGGAAGCAGTTTGATTCGATTACCACTTTGTAAACCCAAGATTATGGACAAATAAAGACTGAGTGATAATAAGTGCTGGTTCACTTGAAGAGACATGCTGAGACTATTGGATTCCACTAAGCGATTCCTGGGAAACAGTCCAAGGGAGGCAAGAATAATCTGCCAATATGTTACCTGTCGCATATATAACCAAATTAGATGTTTCTAAGTTTGTCCCATAATATCCATGAATTACTATTAGAAAGCTTACAGCATGTCTCTAAATGCATTTTACATCACTTTTTGGTACCTGTTACCAAGACATTTGAAATGAGGCGAAATGTAGCAGTCATGATGTCAGTTGTTCAGAAAACGTAAACTGATAAGGGAAATGTTTCTGGTCTGCATGTATGGTGTCGCCAGGGACTCGGGCGTGGCTCTCACTCACCGCTGTACTTGGTCTTGAGGATGTCGGCAACTGAGTCCTGTTCAAACTGGCTGGTGATGTCGGCCAGATGGGACCTCATCACTGTGCACCACATCTGTAGGAGAGCATTTTCGCCGGATCATATTTAGGATATCATTTTGGATATCACGTTTTCAGTCGACAGTCCTTACTTGTGCTATGACAAGGGATGTTGCGTGATACAAACACTGTATATTCTTGAATGAT